ATAACATGATTATATGATTATAATATATTATTATAATATAATATATATTATAATATCTTATAATATATTATAAATTATTATAGTGTACTATAATCATATAATATATGTATATTATAATCATATATTATATATATATGCACACACTGAATTTCAGAAGAGGCCATCCCCCCTCGTCTCGGCTTTAGGACGGCCGCGACTCGCTGTGCGTGGACCACCCGGAGGGCGGTGCAGTGCACGTGGTGCGGAAAAGCGAGCTGCGACCCTTCTACGACGTGGGAGAGACCAGGAGAACCGGGGGACCGGTATCTTCAATATATTGTATCCATAATATAATATTCATAATTATGGTTATATCCATTATTCAATATCAATACATATATCGAATACCATTATCATTATGAATACTACAGTATATGTTCAATAATGGATATATCATAATGGAATATTGAATACTGTAATATCATAACCTATTGTATCTTAAAATATTGCATATTATATATGTAATCCATATAGAATATCTTTGATATATCATAATGGAATGGATATCATGATATCATCATAGAATACAATAGATACAATGATGTCATCATAATATCTCTAGTTAACAGTTTATTATCCAGTCCATATTTATCCAGTCCATATCTCCAATAGATATGCCTACTATAAAACTCCAATAGCAGTATGTCTTTCTTTTATGGATGTTTATAGTAGATATATGTAGATGAATCATTTCATATCCCTAGCTACTAGTTAATCTAATAATGATAATGATATTCAATGATATTATATTCATATATGTATGTTTATATATAGTGGATATATCGTAATACCTATAGATATAGTCAATGGGGATTAGAAGCCAATTGAATAGTACAAAAAATGGTTATCCCTGGTGGCTGATGATTCTAGGAGATCATACTATCCAGTATCTAGATATACAGTGTATATATATATATTGTGGTGATTTGTTTCTACTAAGAAGCAGATGGGAGAACCAGGGATCATATCTCCAACTGCTGCAACGGGTGTGTTATAGATATATCATCAGACTTATTCAGACTTCACAATATCTATAAATAGGACCAAATTGGAACGATAACAGCTATGGTTATCCCTGGTTCATGATTGTAGGGGATTTGTTTTATTATCCTTTTTTTTGGTAAAGTGTTGCTTCTTTTGTTGCCAGTTTAGTGTTATTATTTTGTATATGTCATATATTATTTGTTTAACGTAAGTTTAATATACATTAATGTCTATTTAACTTTTGAAAACTATGTGGTCATTAGTGAGTTTTTGGGGTGATTTATTGCACAAATAGGGACTTCCCATTATGCATTCATATCCACTTAAATCCATTCATTGGACGATCGGCTTCAAATTCGGGACGCAATCACTCGAGATTGGATCGATGATTTTGGAATTGTTGTGTTAGCCTGCAGCCTGCGCTATTAGTTTTAAATTCCATGACAAACCATGTTGAAGCTGAAGGTGATTGAAGCAAAGACACACATTGATATGGAATCTACGGGCTGGCTTATTGTACATATAGATATACAGTACATGTAATTATGGATTCATCCATAAATGTACATCTTGTCCTTTCTATTCCTATTATTATTGTATATATATATGTATATTTGTTTATATGTGTGCGACATTTGTGTATAGTTGATCATTCATATAAGTCCTGGACTCGGTTCCTTTCGGCCAGCCTCCCATGGCAATTACCGGAGGGTAGGCTGGTCTTCCAAGTCCAGAAATGTGCCCATGACAAGCGTTGTGTTTACTGATCATGGATGTTTCTGGATAACACATGTACTGCTTTGTGGTTTCAATGATTTGTTCTGCTCAACCTTTAGCAGTGATTACATGATCCGAATTGACCCACATGAGTTTCGTATAGTTTCAACATGTTTCAACTAACCGGATGCTGGATGTTGTCTCGAAAAAAAACAAACTCATGGTTTAAACTACCTCATGTTCATCCATGTGTTTTTTCCCCATGGCCCACTCGTTTTTGTGACAACCGTCGAAGCTGCAACTTCGGATTGGAAGGACCTTCCAGGACAATACCGAGATGGTTCACTTGGACGATGCGAACATTTTGGACAACTTGCGTCGCTCGGAGCGGACAGTTTGTCCTTGAAAGATCATTGTTTTTTTGATTTTTTTGGCAGGTTATATGTCTGAGCACCTTAATAGAATCTACAACTGAATACAAACAAAATGAAACATGGGAAGTGTTTTTTCTGGTCTTGTGTGTGTGTCTACTTGTTGCCGCACCTTTGAACATAATTTTCAGAGTTTTTGCGTTGTGGTTTGTGTTTCCAGGTTCACGCAATCCTCTCAGCCTGAAAAGTCATTTGCTTCTCAAGCTACTGCCATTTTTCAATGGCATGGCACATTGCACATCATTTGGTTTTTGGGTTTCCACGGTGACTTTTTGAAAGGTACTGCCGAAAATTAAAACTGGTGCAGTGCATAGAACATGTATTAAGTTGATTTAAATTCTATTAATATGTCTTGCACATGATTTGCTATTGGGAATTGTATATAGTACTTTAATTTACTTTATACATTATACATGCCTTCAATATTATATATGCCTTCATTTTTTGTGGCGCCCCTTCACCCACTTCAAAATTAGCTTGATACGGCCAAGGTAAGCGGTATGTGAAAGATGAGATCTACACATACACCGCCAACGTCCTTCTTGCGGTGAACCCATATAAAGGTCTATCGCACCTCTATTCCAAGGAGGCCTTGGCATAAAGCTGCGGTCGATGTTTGCGATTGTTGAGATCAATATTCAATATGTAGTTATATCATACATTTGAATACATGTTGACATAAATTACACATACATATAGTTACATGCATACAATAATATGTGTATATATATATATATACATATACATGCACGTTTATATATCAGAGAGATACAGACGTATATCTAGCAGTTTGAATATGTGTTCAGACTGGTTGTCAAGTTGTCACCAGTTCTGACTTCAAGTAACATGCTATTAGGGCTTGATTGGGGGCCATCTTGACTTGCTTGAAAAGAGCTGTGGTTTAAGTGGTTTATCTGTATTGGGTTTGTTGGGCAGAATCCATGGAACGCAAAGCCCAAATTGTTTTCAGGTTGTGTTGAAAATTGTAGGCTGTTTCGTGGCCGGTACCAATAGGCAGTACTATGAACCAAGTGGCCATGATTAATTCCCTTCTAAATTGAGAGACAAGGTGCCCAGTTGCCCCTAAAGACCATAAAGACCAATGGGTAGGTAGTATACATAGAGGTTTCTTGAGCGATAATGCCAAGTTCGTATTAATAGCCACCCCAGAAGGTTTAGATCAATGAGAAGCTATTCACCCCCAAATAATCGGCAGCAAAACCAAAAATTGGATTCGTGAGATTTAGTATGAGAAATGCTTTGAACCCATTGGTTTTTCATTGGTTTTTGAATCCCAAAATTAGGATTTTCCAGAAATTCAGAAGGAACTTGTTTTTTTGTCAACAGGGGATGACCACCCATGTTGATCAATAGGGAGGGACCAACCCATATTTGGACATTCGGGGGTGGTTAATATGAATTTAACATTACTGTATTCCCTCCAAGACATAGGCCTAGACCTTTCACAAGTTAAGGAATGTCAACTCTGTTTGCTGGACTGCCGAATTGTATCATTTGTATCAACCAGGTGGTGTAAATAAAATCCAAGGCGTTTCAAGGTTGACGTTTGATCGGCAGGTCATGAGCAAATATTGGGGCAAGAACCCCGGCACTTTGCCACCACATCCTTATGCCATTTCAGATGTGGCCTACCGACAGATGCTGAGGGATCGCAAGAATCAGGACGGAGCTGAAAGGGGGAGAGTCAGGGCGTTGTTGCCCCAATTCATGGCGTGAACATGTCGGAAATGAGATTTTCGACATTCTCTTAACTTTCAACCAACCATTAGATGTCTTTCCCTTCTATCATGATTTTAAGACCAATCGATAGATGGCTGCTGGCTACCTAGACTATGGAGCCCCACATGTGGCCCGCATGCGGCCGTGATCCCTGCGCTCGGACAATTGAAACTGTTCCACTGTTCCACTGTGATGTTCCGCTGTTCCACTGGATCAAATATGATCAAATCCATTGATCCATTCAATCCACGTTTTTCTTGTTGATTCTTGACATGCCGGAAAACGGTGGTTAAGTCATGTCAAATCCAATAAAATTGGCTGCTGAAATCCCATGAAATCCAAGGGAAACGGCCTCCTGCTGGTTGTTCCAGGCTCTGGTGATCAGTGGCGAAAGTGGTGCTGGCAAGACCGAGACAGCGAAAATCACCATGCGCTATCTGACCTCCATGTCTAGAGCCCTGGATTCGTGAACCAGTCGAGACAGATCGGAATATTGAGATTATCGAGTACATAAAAAAAAGAAAACAAAGAGAGAGAGAGAGAGAGATTGATATGAATTACTAAACGATGTGTACAACAACTTACCAAATGGATTTGTTTAAATTTCATCTCTATAATACTCTAATATAAGACACCCCCAAACTGAACAGGGCAAGTCAGAAACCAAGGGTTTCTTGAGGGAGTTCTGATGAAGAACCGCACATGGCGAGGGGTTTGTCCAATAATCCTCAGTTTTTCATCAGCGAGAGCCAGGGAAATCAAAAAAGTGGTAAATCCAATCAGTCGAGAGGATAAGAAAATAGATCAAGTCAAAAACAATACACGCATATGTATGCGCATGTGTATGTATATATATATATATAATTATATATTTATATATATAGATATATCTCTCTCTCTCTGTGTATGTATGCATCCCTGGAGCAGAATTCGAAATACTTTTGTCTGTTGGAGTTTGTTCACCACTGAGGAACTGATGCGGCACAAGGATCACGTATTCAGGACAAGATCATCATGGCAAATCCGATTTTGGAGTCCTTTGGGAACGCCACCACCGTGATGAATCTGAACTCCTCCAGATTTGGGAAGTACAATGAGATGCTGGATCTGTGCAGATGTTGGTTTTGTTGTTTAACAAAAAACATCAATTCCCCCCATTCTTGGTTGAAGATCTAAAATCTTTGGGCTGGGTCGATTTGTGTTAGGGATTCAATTTTTTAGGGTAGATGCTTGTGACAATCGAAGCGGGGTTCCTTAGCCAAGGTATGTTTTCAAGATGATGACTCATTCATGTTGGATAGAACGGTTAGAGTAATGTTGCTCATTGTCATGTTTTGTTGTGTTTTTTCTTTGATCCAGTGCAGGGTCTCCTGACGGCTCGTCAAACGGCTCGTGAAATGACTCAGGATGATGTTCAACCCTGTGGGTTCACTCGTGGGCGCTGGCATCAAGACTTTCTTGCTCGAGAGTTCCAGGGTGGTTTCGCAGCAGAAAGGTGAGAAGAACTACCATGTCTTCTACGAACTCCTTGCCGGGATGGAGGAAGAGGTCGCTGGAATACCTCATGTGGTAAACCCGTAAACCCCAAAAACAAAGTCCCCAGTTCGAGACTATTCTATACACCCAATTTATGGCAATATTGGGGACAGTTTTTTGTCTACCACCTTACCCGACTTTGACGGTGGACATGAAAGCTATGGGGAACATGATCGGTCTATGACCCATATCCATCCATATCCCACACACCATATATTCCATAGATTTTCATAGCTGCTATCCTTTGAGGTGCTGCACCCGGCCCCCCAGGCCCTGAATATCATGTGGCTGGAACGCGATCGCAGCTATAAGTTGCTCCACGCAAGCGGTGCCTCACCGCAGCCAGCCGATGCAAATCGCCTGGCTAAACAGTTTCAGGAGCTGCGGCAGGCGCTTTCGATCTTCCTGGATGAGGAAACACAGGCGACACGCTTTCGATCTGCGAACAAATGAGCTAAGTATTGGGTAAGTTATGGTAAGTTCCTTGGCCCCCCAGATTTGTGGTAGGATTCATATATGAAATTGGTTGATGTGCTGGTGGGAGTTTTGCTATCTTGATTTCCTTGCTTGGAGAGCATCAAGATAGTTACTGTATTTGTTTATGATATGAAATAACGAAATAAGTATATATATATATTATTACAAGAAGAGTACGATGTCCAGATAGACTTCTAGGGTTATTCCGTTACTCCCCCAAGATCTTGAGAATTCTTGTGGATGCTCCAGGATCAAAAGTCGGAAACTCTGCCCCTCCCTTTGTCCGCATGCCCGAGTATGAACAGCATTGGATTGCTTGGAATGTGAATGTGAACTATCATATTTTTAGTTTTTCCCCATACAGCACGTATACCGATATACTGTTGGGGATTGAAAGAAATGATTCGCTACGTTTTGAGATCTCGGGGATGAATATGTTTCTTCCCATGATCTTGTTTCTTTGCATTCATCGCACAGCCCCATCAACCCATTGTTCAAACGGGGATGAATTACATAATGCCTTTAATATCCAGTCATAAAATTTTGGGGGATGACAAGTTACTTGGGTTGATGTTCCAGATGATTCCGTCTTTGTATTTAGTTAATCCATTCAGCATGTTTCTATACAGTTCAGATAGATAGATAGATTAGATGGATGGATGGATAGATAGAAAGATAGACAGATCGACAGATCGACAGATCGATAGTTCGATAGATGGATAGATGAATAGATGGATAGATCGAAAGATGGATAGATGGATAGATCGATAGATCGATAGATGGATATATAGATGGATAGATAGATGGATTCATGGATGGATGGATGGATAGATAGCTAGATAGATAGATAGATAGATAAATATATGTACATACACACACAATCACACACACACACACATATATATATGCCGGCAAGTAAATTGACATCAGGCCCTGGAGAAAAAAAACAAACGAATTCTTTTAGTGGAAACTAATCTTCCAACTGGAGGATATCATCCCTTCGCAGGATCACATTTGGCAAACGCTCGCTGCGCTGATTCACCTGGGAGAGGCGGGCGGGCTTTTTAACTGGCACCCAAAATGACCATGGCATTCGATCGAAAAGGTTGGGTTTTAATGGTGGTTATATATAAGCCAATAAGGTTGTTTAAGAAAAACAGGTCAAGTAGTGACATATAGTGACATATTTGGGTGGTAGGTTTGGAACATTTGGATTTTCTGCCATATATTGGAAATAATCATCCCAACTGACATGTTTTTCAGAGGGGTTGGAACCACCAAGTAGATCATTCAGTTTCTAGCTCTTCTTTTTTCTAAGTTACTATACGCGGTAATCAAACATGGATAGCTGCGAATCCCCGAAAAATGGAGGTTTGATGAGACCATCATCGAACTATATAAATGGTTGATTTTCCCTTGCTATGTTCGAGTACTGGAGGCTCATTATATATATATATATGTGTGTGTGTACTATGTCCATCTGGAAGTTAATGTATACATATATATATATATATATATGTATACATATACATATTTGTAAATATATCCGCATATATAGATAGATACAAGCTTATTTGGATGTGGTTTGATTTTCACCCCAATTTGGGTGTAACCAAAATCTGGATGTGAACCACCAACCAGTTGTGGATGAGTTTGTCCACCAAAAACATGGGGTAGCCCAAAAAATCCACCATGTTGTAGGTCCCTTAGCTTGCGCAGGCCATGGTGATGAACCACTGCATTTGGGGATGCTCCATTTTTAGACAAACCCAAATGTGCTGACATGAAATTGATTTTCAGCACAACTAAGACAGATGGGGATATCTCATGGTGCAAAATATAAATGGTTAATTATAATTACATTTATACATACATACATATATATATATATACACATACCATGATATATATATATATTGTTATACATACATTTGATTCAACTAGTAGATACAAATTCCACCTAAGATGGTGTTGGGTGACGTTTTTTTTTCCATCCAGCTCCCCCCACAAAATAGAAAACACACACCAGCACTAGAGTGGTAGAGGACAACATGTAACATGCCCGTCTCTTGGGGCTACCTGTAGTCCCAGGTTAACACGGGAAGTTACAGTAATTCCATTTCCTCTGGGAAACCTACCTTTTTTTCATGTCACCATGTCACCTGGTGGTCTTTTCATTGGATTTGCTTGGATTCCCAGCGAAACCAGGTGGATTTCCAGGAATTGGAAGCGAGCGACGAAGCCCCTAAGCGATCACCTGGTGCTGGTCGCTGGTTTTTGTGGGATGCATCCGGTAGGATTGTAGGACTTCATGCAACGCAGGATGGGGCCCCCAAGATAGCGTTAAGTTGCCTTAGTTCAGTGGCTTAATTCTATGGTTTATGGCTGCATGATGCACCGTTTTTTGTTGCTTGAGTCTGACCGCCCCTCCATATTTCAATTTCCACCATGCAACACCCGCAGCTAGAAGTAGTGGTACCCACTGGGCTACCATTGGGCTAGCCAATCACCCATGCTGGTGAATTTTAGATCCCCTATTTACAATGCAAATATAGACTAATATAGGGTCTTAGAGCATCCCATAAACATGTACCTTAATTAGATGTCTACAGCATTTCATAATCTTGATGAATATTAGATATTAATAAATAGATACTAAATTATTCAACAAGATTCTATATTTGCTACTTAAATATATATATATATATTTATTTATATATTTATTTGTCCCATCCCCCGTCCCATGTCCCCAGTCGGAGAAGACGGGTGAGCCCTACCTCGAGCCGTCGCCGTCGCACTGCAGCGCCACGCCCTCCTCCGCGGCGAACACGGCCGCCTCGGAGGCGATCTCCGGCGAGGCGCTGTCCACGCAATCGGCCAAGGTGGAGATCGATGAGAAGACCGAGGAGATCTCGGGGCGGGACACGTTTTTCATAGCGATTTTTTTCATCATAAATCGATATACAGTAAATCATCTATAAATCATCTATAAATGTGGTCATGTTCCAAAGCTATGTTAGCCAGAGGATAGTACAATTTATGGTGAAACCGAATGGTTTCTACAGGATTCTATAGGTATTCTGTAGGTGAGTTGTATATAGTTTAATGTACCCATTTTTTTGTGATATCTCCATCTTCCTTAAAAAACAATAGCCATTTCAGGACCAGATTTATTGGAGGTACCATATATTAGGCCCATGTTTCAGGGCTATGTATGGGAATATCACCAGAAAACATGGCCAGAAATTTTCAGTGAACATGGGAAAATGCTGAGATGTTAAGGGATGACATGGCTATAGTTTTATAGTTATATGATGTTATTAATATATAATATAACTCACTATGCAGCTATAGTTTGAAGTCTATTTTGAAATGATAGATGCTGGATGGATGCGGTTACGGGATGAAGCGATGTAGATGGGGATCCATATAACATTGTATAACTGATGCGGCGCGAAAAAAAACACTTCTTTCCGGGATGATGAGTCCGGTTGAACTCCGAGGATTGCCTGGACATGGCTTGCGACCTGCTTGGTTTGAATGTGGTCTCCGTGGCAAAGGTGCTGAAGTTCAGGGAGATGCACGTAAATCGCCAGGGAAGGATCTCACACATCAAGTGCCCCAGGTGCGGAATGAAGAATGGGGGGATGGGTCGGGTGGGGAGACATGATATGTTTTTTTTTCTGGGAACAAATGATAAAGGGAGAAGGGTTTCTTGGGGTTCTTGTTTGGGTGATTTCTGGAAGGTGTTTTTTCAGCATGGACCAATTGTCAATGATGAACGAATCAATTTGGAGAACATAAACTGTAAGAGGCACTGCAAATCAATGCGAATAATTGAATGCTTTCCCTGGCTGTGTTGTAGTATCAGACGGGGCGGAATCTGTTTTTTTCTTTCGTCTTTTTGACTGAATTGTTCTGTAATTATTCGGCATGGTAACGTGAAAGGTCGGATATGCTGCTGGTTGGGCTGGTGGCTTCAAACGCCCGACTTATTCTGAGACACATGTTTTTTCAATGGTGGTTCAGAATAACCATACCCACAACTTGTTGTTGATCTGAATTCGCACAAGTTGTTGGTAAATCAAAAGCTAGCTATAATATATAGCAGAAATATCTTGCCAGGACCTTGGCTCAGGCGAGGCAGACCCTGCAGTGCATCATCAAAATCCTTTACAAACGGCTCTTTGACAAGATCGTTTCCAGCATCAACGAGGTCACTTTGATTCACCAACGGCCAGGGATTTCGGGATTTCTAGTCTTATGTCTTATATGCATATGATTTCTTTCCCGTTTTTGGGATGGGTTTAGGAATGGCTAATCCGAGGTCAGAGATAAGAAGTTGAATTGGATGGTGCATATTGCCAAAAAAAGTGGCACTTGTTGGTGACTGGAAGTTCTGAGGTCTCCAATTCTGGAGCGGCCCGGCAGAGCGAGGGCAACTATCACAACATTGGGATCTTCGGCGCATCGGATGGGATTCGGCGCAACCAGACCTTCCAACGTGTGCTGTTATATGTGCGTATAACGGGGAGTTATCTACACACATGGGTTATATCGAGAGGGATAAATATATATATATATATAGATAGGTATAGATAGAGGGTACGTATTTTTCCGGGGAATTTTTTTCAGATTTCCCGGGGAATTTTTTCAGAAATCTATTCGCAGGCCACGCAGGGAACAGGCAAGCAAGCAAGCAAGCAAGCAAGCCAGCCAGCAAGCAAGCAAACAAGCAAGCCAAGCAAGCAAGCAAGCAAGCAAGCCAGCCAGCCAGCAAGCAAGCAAGCAAGCAAGCAAGGCAGCAAGCAAGCAAGCAAGCAAGCAAGCAAGCAAGCAAGCAAGCAAGCAAGCATGCAAGCAAGCAAGCAAGCAAGCAAGCAAGCAAGCAAGCAAGCAAGCAAGCAAGCAAGCAAGCAAGCAAGCAAGCAAGCAAGCAAGCAAGCAAGCAAGCAAGCATGCATGCAAGCATGCAAGCATGCAAGCATGCAAGCATGCAAGCATGCAAGCATGCAAGCAAGCATGCAAGCAAGCAAGCAAGCAAGCAAGCAAGCACGCAAGCAAGCAAGCAAGCAAGCAAGCAACAAGCAAGCAACAAGCAAGCACGCACGCAAGCACGCAAGCACGCAATCACGCAAGCAAGCAAGCAAGCAAGTAAGCAAGCAAGCCAGCAAGCCAGCCAGCAAGCCAGCAAGCCAGCAAGCCAGCAAGCGAGCGAGCGAGCAAGCGAGCAAGCGAGCAAGCGAGCGAGCGAGCGAGCAAGGGAGGAAGCACGGCAGTCAGCGAAGCGAGAAGGTGAGCAAGCCATGCAGGGAGCCAGCAAGACAGCCAGCCAGGCAGCAAGCAAGGAAGGTATCCAATCAAGCATTGTATAAGTATGGCGCGCGATTGCAATACCCCCCCCCGTATCCATGTGCATAAGCAAAAGACATTGTAAATACCATGCAAAACTGCATTTCCAGGAAAGCCCCCCCCCGCGGCTTGTGACAACGCCAGAAAGGTGGATGATAAGGCCCACCTACATTGCGAATGAATGTATCATGACTACGTGACGCTTTGCCCCCCTCCCGCCTTTTTATTTTAGAGCCACCCTCCCGCGGCTTGTGACAAAATGCAAGTGTATGATACGGACCACCTTCTGTTTCAAGCGTGTGTGATCAAACTTGTCGTCAAAATTCAAGTGCGTGCTTTGCTGCCATGCTGTGACAAAACCACAAAATGCAAGTGTATGATACGGCCCACCTTCTGTTTCAAGCGTGTGTGATCAAACTTGTCGTCAAAATTCAAGTGCGTGCTTTGCTGCCATGCTGTGACAAAACCACAAAGGTGGATGATATGGCCCACCAACTGCTACGTCTAGTATTACGCTACCGCTGTATGCTGTGACATCGCCACAAAGGTGGATGATAAGGCCCACCTACATTGCGAATGAATGTATCATGACTATGTGACGCTTTGCGGGGGGAGGCGCTGCGCCCTCCCCCCGCGCCCCCCCCCCGCGCCCCCCTCCCGCCTTTTTATTTTAGAGCCACCCCCCGCGGCTTGTGACAAAATGCAAGTGTATGATACGGCCCACCTTTGTAGCGTATGTGATCAAACTTGTCGTCAAAATCTATCTATCTATCTATCTATCTATCTAACTATCTATCTATCTAATCTGATCTTATCTTATCTTATCTTATCTTATCTATCTTATCTTATCTTACCTTATCTTATCTTATCTTATCATATCTTATCTATCTATCTATCTATCGATCTATCGATCTATCGATCTATCCATCTATCGATCTATCGATCTATCGATCTATCGATCTATCGATCTATCGATCTATCGATCTATCTATCTATCTACCTATCTATCTATCTAATCTATCTAATTTATCTAATCTATCTCATCTATCTTTCTATCTTATCTTATTTTTCTTATCTTATCTTATCTTATCTTATCCTATCTATCTATCTACCTATCTATCTATCTTATCTTATCTATCTATCTATCTATCTATCTATCTATCTATCTATCTATCTATCTATCTATCTATCTATCTATCTATCTATCTATCTATCTATCTATCTATCTATCTATCTATCTATTCATCTATCTATCTATCTACTATCTATCTATCTGTCTATCTATCTATCTGTCTGTCTATCTATCTATCTATCTATCTATCTATCTCTCTCTCTCTCTATCTATCTATCTATCTATCTATCTATCTATCTATCTATCTATCTATCTATCTATCTATCTATCTATCTATCTATTCTATCTACCTATCTATCTACCTATCTATCTAACTATCTAGCTATCTATCTATCTATCTATCTATCTAATCTATCTATCTATCTATCTACCTATCTATCTATCTGTCTATCTATCTATCTATCTATCTAACCATCTATCTATCTATGAATAAATCAATCAATCTATCATGTCTGTTGGTTTAACACAGTGGATCCACGATGAATACAACGGCAAACAACACAGAACCGTCCATGCCACTAGTGATCAGACGTATGCAAGTCGCGGGAAACACGCCCAAAAACGGCAAGAACAAAACAAAATCGTTCAAAACCAAAAAAAACCGGTGAAAAGCAAAAACACCCAAAAAACGTTTAAAACTCTGGAAAATGAATGGAAGCCAAGGAATACACCGGTTGGCGCCATGGAACAAGCAAACAACACGCCCCGCAACAGAATCAAAAAAAAAATCCCAAAACGCAGAAAAAAAACAACATAAATAAAAAGGTAGGGGCGCGAACCCTTTCCGCATGGTTGCTGCTTCTGGCCTTATGTGTTTTGCTATATAGACCCCGTATCCTGAAAAAAATTCCCCGGGAAATCTGAAAAAAATTCCCCGGGGACGCCCCCACCCATAGATAGAGATAGATAGATAGATAGATGGATGGGATAGGATAGGATAGGATAGGATAGATAGATGGATGGATGGGATAGGATAGGATAGGATAGGATAGGATAGGTAGATAGATAGATAGATAGATAGATAGATACATAGATTAGATAGATAGATAGATAGATATATAGATAGATACTGTAGATAGATACTGTAAATAGATACTGTAGATAGATACTGTAGATAGATGCTGTAGATAGATGCTGTAGATAGATACTGTAGATAGATACTGTATATAGATACTGTAGATGGATACTGTAGATAGATACTGTAGATAAATAATGTAGATAGATACTGTAGATAGATACTGTAGATAGATACTGTAGATAGATACTGTAGATAGATACTGTAGATAGATACTGTAGATACATACTGTAGATAGATAGATAGATAGAAAGATAGATAGATAGATAGGTAGATAGATAGATAGATAAGATAGATATAACATTTATTCACTTATAATATGCTATACATGTTGTTACCATATATATATAATTAATCCACATTCATATGTATCTATATGTGTATTAACAAAAACGGAGTTGAACTGTCAACATGATAGTAGATTAGTTGCTATATATATATATATATTACGTAGATATAGTTCATAGACTATCTTTAATATTCTACACTTAGCATGAGCCGAAAAGAGTTGGGATGCTTATCAATAATCATCAACATTTCAAACTAGCATGATTATCATCAACATTGTTATAGTATCTGGTTGGTGGTTTGGAACATTTTTTATTTTCCATAACATATGGGATAATCCTTCCCATTGACTAATATTTTTCGAGATGGTAAAACCACCAACCAGATATGTTATAATGTATCATAGATTATCAACATCTGCAATCATCAATAGCTTACATCGCCATGATTTTCCACTTGTTTCATCGACTTCAAGCCATGGCCGCTGTGAATCCAACGGCCAGTGCTGATTCCCCTCCCATGTTTATTGGATCCGAAATTTCAAAGTGTAAATAAAATGGCCAACTATTTACCCTCTGGTAAACTAACAGAACTATGGAAAATAACAATTTTTAACGGGTAAATCATAGTAAATCAACTATGGCCATTTTCAATAGCTATGTTTGTTTACCAGAGGGTACATTGATTGTGTGGTTTTGATCCCAATGTCTCTGGGCTAGATCATGCTAAATCTCTGAAATGTTCTGGCATTGAAACGGGACCCCCAGTTCTAAGAGTTTACAAGCCAATTTAGCCACAGCTAATTACATTTCCGAACCCCTAATTAAACCCATTAAACCCATTAACTAGACCCATAAAGCAATTTGACTATAGTTCATAAAGCCATTAACTAAGTAACTATAGACTATAGCCTATAGCGACTATAGTTATTATTCCAAATAAACCCGATTTTTAACCAAGTCATGTGCATCAACTTAGCTATCCTAAACTAGCGATACATCCCCATGAAATGACCATTGTTCTTGAATTGCCACGTATTTTCCCATGATTTCCTGTGGTTTTTCTATGGTTTCCTATGGTTTCCTGGTGCCTATTATACGGCCGTTTGTTCCCTTAACGTTCGAACGTTCCGCCGTGTCGGGTAACGAGGACCTTGGACATCTACGGCTTTGAACGTTTGGAGTCCAACAGCTTTGAACAGCTCTGCATCAACTTGGCCAACGAGCGCCGCTTGGTGGCGGGATGCAGCATCTATGGCCCAGTAATTAAACAGTGTCCTTTATGGGAGTTGACTCATGGCAGAAAACGGAGTTATAACAATGGCAGCCTCAGTTTATGGCAGCCTCAGTTTTTGGAGTTGACTTTATGGGAGTATCCTATTAATCAGTTAATGGCACACAACCGCAGTTATAGGAGTTATAACTCCGTTTATAAGTGTTAGTTGGGCCATCACTGTGGGAATGGATGATGAATGGATTATAAATCGTATATAATTGGTACATGTGTTTAGTCCAAATGTTGATTACCATCACTTAACAATAATTACTTGACACATATATTTTTTTGAATGGATTATTAATTCTAACATCCTGGGATATTTCATTGGGATATGATATGGGGATTATTTTTTAAATGCAGATATGGGGGATATATATATATAATAATAATAATAATAAAGAAATATAAAGAATATAAAGATGGCGTCGCAGATTTGTCCGCATGGAGGGCGCAGACAAAAAATATTGTAAAGATGTGGGGATCATTTTTCATGGGGATATTTCATAGGGATATATGATGGGAACATCATCTTTACATTTGGAACATGTGGCGCAAGGGGTTAATCAGACCTCCAAAGATTGAAATGATTTGGTTGAGGATCTTTCTCAGGAGGGAGTCTATGCCCAGGGTCTACGTGATCCTCATTTTTTGGGATTGCATGCTTGCAAGAGGTAGCGTTTCTAATAAACATGTTCAAAAAGCATCCCAGGGGTCTATGTTTATTTGCCCAAAACCTGCTCGTAGGGTCTACGTTAATATACAACAGAGTATTTGATATGTACTGTAACCAAATTAAACATATTTGATTGAGAATTAATTAGTGGGCTATTAATGAAATTTCCTCTGGTAATTTGTTACCTATGGTGATGCAATGGGGATATAGGGATATGATGGGAATATTTTTTCTGGAAAATGTGGCCGATAGCCTTGAAACTGGATCATCATCGCCATTTTTTTGTGGTAAAGTTATCGAACTAACCTTCGCACCGTAGTAACTTGAATGTTGTGATTGAATTGGATGGAAATGGACACGAACCCCCATAATTACTGGTAAAAACCACGGATTTCCTGTAGATTCTACCTTACACCAATCCATTGACTATCACCCCACGAAATCCCAAGAAATCCCAATTTTTGATGGTAAAATAGTAAAAGTCCTCAAAAAAAACATGAGATTTAAGCCCTTGGCTTCCCCTCAAAGATCTCCAGTGCCAAGGGTTGCAGCAGTTCTTTGTGGAGGAGGTTCTTGAAGCCGAACAGCGCATGTACCGCGATGAGAGGCGCCTAAAAAAAGCCCTGGTTGAAAAAACACTTATCGTGAGCAGATTTACCCTTTGGTAATTTAACATGGAACATGACCATTTATAGTTCGTTGATTTACCTATTAAATATAGTGATTTTCTATAGCTGCGTTAGTTTACTGAAGGTATTTATTGATGGTTGATTTATAAATAATGAAATGGGCTAAAAATTCCTATCAGCCAATATATTTGAATCAGTTTTCGAAGGTAGACACCTTAAGGTGAAACTGGATGGGCCACGAGAAGTGGGTAGCTATACGAGTTCATCCAGTTGGAGTAATGTGGTTATATCATGTTGTATCCCCAGTCACGGATTATATCATATCGACAGGTGGGTCTCTCTATTCCCCGTTATGATTTTTCCCCTTTAAACCATTATTGGATGATATACCCACAATGGTTTGCTCATCATGTTCTAGCCGCAGTGGTGGGATATGTGGGTTGTAAATCACTTACTAAGTCAGTGGTTCCCAGTGTTCACGAATGATCACCAGGGTTTTTTTGGCAATCTCTACTTCTTTACTAGGATGTTTGACTCATGGGTGTGTGAAATCAAAATGAGGTCAAACAATCCAGTGCTTTATCATAATTTTGCCTACATTGAATCATAACACATTTATGCACGTTTAGATTTTAGTGTGGTTGGCTCACTTTTTGGATAGACCCATATCCATGCTTGGTGGTTCATGTATATACTGTACCATGCCAGTAAGTAAATTCAAGATCATCCACAAAAAAATCAGCAGGCCATGATAAACCATTCTTGGTTAGATTCTATGTTGTATACCCTTTGCTAATCAAAGATGGCAACAGAAACATATACGGAAATTCCAGGAACACACCTATATATATATAATGTATGTTTATATATATATATAGATGCATACGGAAAAACAACATAATTTTGCTCGATGATGTTCCCACTTTAAAGTTTATGTACTTCAGGGTTTCCCGGCTAGCCATGTTGGACACTCCATGATCAATAAAGATAGAGAAACATGATAAACCATTGTTAGATCTTGTTATATACGCTTCCTTTAGACTGTATGTAGATAGATGCATCCTCATTTAGTTCGAATATGTTGTTTCATGTCTAATTGGCACTAAGTTCGGAGATTTCCCAGCTACAAGTAACCACCAGAGGGTATTATCATGATAGCTCATGGTATTCTATCATGTTCCCATTATTTACTACGTCAGAGTTCTTGTGGATTTAGTTCTATGAATTGTCCAGTTCTCATTCTTTGTGTTTTTGTTTGTTCCCCAGTTGCCTTCTAGTAAGCTATCAGGGATGTTAGTTTACCCACCATTTGCAGATCATGTTCCTAGGGGAAACCATTGGTTTTCCACATGTTTTCGATGTTTCCACTAGTGTATATCCCATTCATATCTCACTGAATCAGCATGTTTAATGGTTGAACCACAATTTTAGCATGACATCCCCACAGTTCTTTTGCGTGTTTCATATCCCATAACCAATCCCCAGTGATTGCGTTTGAACAATGGTAGCGCGGTTTTTTTTAAAGTGTTTCAGGTTGAACGTCCACAGCATGGAGCTCCCCGACAGCGCCCCCGTGGTGAGCGGCATCCAGTCGGTGCTCCGGCTGTTGGACGAGCACTCCCTGAGGGCGGTGAAGAATTTGGTGCGCGAAGGGGCGCAGAAGGATTCCAAGTTCTGCGAACAGGTGGGGAGGACGACGGTGAGTCTGGAGGCTGTAGTTTTGGGGGAAATCATAGATGGATGAGATAATAAGATATAGTAATAATAATCAATTATATATATATATAAATATATATATATATATATAAATATGTATGTATATATAAATATATATGTATGTATATAAATATATATATATGTATATATATATATATAAATATATGTATGTATATATATATAAATATATGTATGTATATATAAATATATATGCAGTATCACCGATATGTGCTGCTGTCAGATTACGGCGGCAGTAGCACACTTGCTGCCCGTATTGAGTAGCTCCTGTTTGTGTTTTTGTTTGTGTTTTGTGCCCCCAAACCAGGGGCCAGATTCTGGACCCAAAAATGGGGCCACAATACTAAAATTGGTAGCCCAGCTTCCAAATTTGTGGCCCCAAGTTTGGGCCCATGGTATATGCGTTTTGCCTTCTGCAAAGAGCGTGTTGAGCTGCGACAGGTTGCATTTTTCATTCATGTTTTCTTGCGCTTGCTGCCAGGATGCTGGTTTCACACCATATATATATATATCCCTGAGGATCCATGTATCTTCTAAGGAAGTGATCGGCCAAACTGTTGCTGATAATGGTCTTTCGCCCAAAATGCTCTCATAATGGCTTGACTCCTCTCAGGAAAAGTTGGCTCAAGGCCTTTTTCCAATGGGTCTGAAAACCTCAGAAAATGTATCAACAAAGCATTGTATTGGGAATGTATTGCACCAATCCCTTTCCACCGGGCTGATATTCACTTTTTCTGGCTGGCATCAGGGAGCAAGTGCTGCTTTCAGAGCAGATTCTCTACTTGATGACATTCCTATAGCTGGGTTATTTGATAAATGATCTGGGTTTGCCGCATGTGGCGCCACTGGTGTGTGATGAATGGGGTTGCTACGTGCTGCTGCCCTTAGGGGTGCGCCCTCCCGAGCTGATGGGCTGGATATGGCATGGGTCTGGAAATGCATTTGGTTTTGAAATTGTTTTCATGGATTTCTTAGCCCCATGATTCCAAGTTATGGTCTGATCATAATTTTGCATTATTAAGTTCAGTGGGAACTTGTCACTTCACACATTTCAAGATCCACTTCCCGCTGCCCGGCTCAGCAGTGACCCATTGGAGCTTGAAGGCTTTCGGCCTGGGTGGTCAGAGGCCATGGCCGTGGTGCTGGTGGAAACACAACTGGATGATGGAACCCGCTTGGTAAAGTCCCCCATGAAGTTTAAAGTTTCTGCATCTCGACTTGTGCTAAATTGGGTGTTGATTGTTTGCCCCATTAGGGTTTATATTTTTTGATATTTTTTTGGACATGGGACCACATTATACGGGTGAACTGCCATGTGCTGGTAACATACCCATGCCTCATGGCAATGTTGTGTTTTCCAAGCCAAGGCAAAAGCTTCAGGGATCTACAAAGGCATTTGGTCCTACATCCAGCACAACGCGCCCGATATCCAGTGTGGTGAGGTGGTGCTGCACCATGCACCCTTCTTTGATTTTAATTCTGTTAAAATGGTGACCACCATATCTGGGTGCTACATGGCTGGTCAGGATGTTGTGGTCGTCAACTGGGCCAGAAGTCACACCAATCCAATTGTTGGAGGCTCACTATTGCTTCACACTGGTAAAACATCTGCAGTTGAAGGTGTCAAGTATTTGTTCTTAAGGTCTATGAAGATGATTTGGAGCGGAACTATTACCTCCTAGTTGAGATCCTCATTGTCCTGAAAGACTCCCTGGTGAATGGTGAGGGGCTTCCTACTGTCAAAGACATACAGGTTCCCTGTTTATTGCTTGCACTTGACTTTTATTGGTTTCCTATAGGTATAGTCGAATCATTGTCCCTTGTATTGCTAGGCAGCCTTCCTGCTGGCGACGCTGATTCATAATTGGCATCGCCCTCTTTATAGTAAGAGAGGGGGAAAAAGGGAGATCAAGGACAGATTGGTGTAAGCTGACACTAATCCCCAACAATGAAAATGCCTTCTCATCCAATCCATGCTGCAGGACTGGGGCACGGACCAGGCCACCAAAGTGCGATCCTTGCTTGGCCACCTGCACACACTGACCCGCCGTGCTGGGACTTCAAGGAGATTGGTGGGGAGTGTTATCTAGTGTCACTGTGGCAAAACCCACTCATCACATGTGCAGGAACCAGAAAGTCCAAGTGATGAAAACGTTGTACATGAAGTTGAGTGGAAAGGCCATGAGTTTCCAAAATGATGTCACTTAATCTAACATGTAGCTGTTGACATTGACAGGCCGCTGAAACACCTCAAGAAGCTGCAGAGGCAAATGTTGTTTTTGTTGCATCATTTTTTGAACTCCTTAAGTTCTTACCTGGAAGGAACCAATGGTGCAATTGGCTGTTGACCTTGATGAAGAACCGATTCTGGTTGAGGCCCAATCTATATGTAATCTGCTTCCACTGAACCACCTCTTACTTGTTGTCACCTTGCCCCTTTCTGCACAGGACGAGCTTCCCCGGAATGAAGTTGTCGAGATCAAGGACGACAGCTGCCCCTGTTTTGAAACATTACAGATCCAATTTATCTTGTACCATGTGGTTTCACCGGGTGTGCAGGATGAAGATGCTGTCCAGCCCTAAGTGCAATTTGAGATGTACCACCCTGATATCAATTGGAGATGCTGTCCTACCCTCATATCATTAATTATTTAAATTGAGTCTGTGTGTATATAGTACCTAGCATTGGGGTTCGGGTTCAAATTATCTCAGGATGAGTCAGCCCATGGGGTTGATCAACTGAAACCGAAAACTGTCCAACCCTCAGTGCAAAAGTTTTGGTGGTTGCTATTTTTGGTGGGACACAATTCGACACAGGGTCCAACAGTCCATACACTTCTCAATGTTTAAAAAAAATCTCAAAAAACAAATGTCATCAGGTGGAAGCAATGCCAGTCCAGAACACGAACATACCTGCTGAGGCCAAATTTGGTTTCCGCATTTTGTGACTAGCTTATCTAATTGACTGCACCCACCGCCTTTTCCCAGGACAATGGCCAGGTTGCCAGTGGTGCCTCTGCTTTGGAGACTTCTGGATGTCAACCTGCCAGCGTGTGGGTCTGAGATTTGTTGGTGCTGGTCTCTATGAAAAGGGTTTCAACATATATCGATAAATATATAAGCTTACAGTAAATTCTTACATCAAGTTATTTTATGTCATGGGCATCCTATACTGCATGAATTCCTGCACTGGAATCGTCTTGAGGTAAAGAAAGGAGGAAGTGCATCCAGCAATCCAGATCCTGTTCGGTTCTAAGCTTTACAACAACTTTACCTATATATACTAGTGCCAGCTTCTGATGTAAGGACATCTTGAGCACAATGGCAACCTGTCCCGACAGCCAGCCTCGTGATGCGGAGGAATGGGTAGGGCACCAAGCTCCTGACAGAAAGGTTGCACCATCAGTCTCATGCTGTGAAGAAGAACTCCCTTCCATTCTTAAGCAGGTGTTGCTTCCAGGGTAACTACTTTCTAAGTGTTTATATATTTGGTGATAGTGATAGCTAGATCTTAATGGCCTATTGAACTCCCGGAATAATAATAATTTTTGGTGCTAGGATAAGTGTTGATTCTATTACTACACATGGCCTGCTGAGGCTGCATGGGGCTTAAGCCCACCTCGCAATGGTGGTGATGAGGACAACGTTCAGGCCTTCTGTTCACTTGAGTGCACATACCATCATTCAAGCAAGCATTCAGCTAAACCGCAAGTATGAATGCTGGCCAGACTGTTCCATGGAACTTCGACTCTCAATCTGTGGATGCTGCGATGGCAGCAGTTGATGAGAAGGCGGGTATAGGTGATTGTTGCTGTGCACAATTATCTGGTTTGCATGTGGCCAGGGTCATGGAAAAGAATGGGTTCCTTACCACATCCGAGTACGTTCATTTTTTGAAAGATGGCCTGGTGCAATGAACGCCTGCATGTTGAATGTAACATCTTCAAGTGATTGAATGTTGTGTGTTCTTCTGCAGGCTTTGGACAGCCAGCCCTTGATGGAGGTTGAACCAGTGGCAGATGATCCCAACACTGCTGAGGCTCCAAAGGTGGATGGGGTATGGGAAGTTCATGGTGATTCCATCCATGTCACTTCCAGCTTCAAAGCTTTGAATGTTTTTAGAAACATGTTTTTGGTTTCTGGGTTTTTCTTCGGAGGAGACACCTGAATGTCCGGACCTTGCAGAGCAACAAGCGATTCTCCGCAAAAAGAAACGAGAGGTTTGCTGTTTGGTGGGCCAATGGAGACAATGTATGTTTTGCAAATGGGACCAAAATATACCATATATATGCATATGTGCCATGTATGTACTATACATTGTGTATGGGGACCAGTTTGTATCCTTTGAGCTCTGTTTTTTGTTCATTTTCAACCAATGCAGGAAGAAGATGCAAAGAAGGCAGCAAAGGAAAACGCAAAGGAAAACAAACGAAAGGCAAAGAATGGGGAGGACGCCAAAGAGGTCCCAATGCGTCGCCCAGCTGCTGCTAAGCCGCCTAAAGCACCCAAAGAAAAGGCAGTCCAAGAAGCCAGTGGAAAAAAGGCCGAGAAAAAGGCTAAGGTACCCAAAGAGCCCATGCCAAAGCCCAGAGGCAAAAAGCGAAAGGCTGAGACTGAAGTGACTGAAAATGAAGAGGTTCCCCCCACTGACCCAAAGACTGCACAGAAGGATGCTGAAAAGGAGAAGCGCCGGGTCCGTGCAAATGCTGCATGGGAGGTGCTCCAGAAAGCCAAGATCCCAGGGCTTCAGTTGCCAAACCAACTGAATGGCCGCATCAGCTTCACTTGCAGAGACCCGAATGGTCAGGGATCATCGGTGGGTGTGATCTTGGCTTCCGAGAGTTTTTACATCTCAAAGGCGAGGCCGGCTGCTGAATGGCCAACGACATGCACCCATCTGAAGGTGGGGTACATGTTGGGCCTACATGTGTGGTGACAATGCCAACCACTTAGACCAATGTTTTTTGATCCCTAAACCCCATTTCTTTTTCCACTTTGCCAGGTTGATGG